CAAGCTATACAATAGAAGAACATAAAGATAAACTTATAAGTATTCTAAAATATAATAGAAGAAATATGATTAATTAACTTATATTCTATACTGAGAGCTCTTATAAAAAAGGGATAATAGATTATAAGCTCAGAATGAATTTACAGTAGGTTGGATTCTAATAAAGAAAGACAAAGTAACTAAACAATTTTCAGCAGAAACCTTCATATGACTATCTATAGTCAAGGTCAAAATATTAGCTATTCTTATTGCACTGTATACAGTATATTTCTCCAAAATACAACTGTTATAATTTACACTAATTGCAATATTATAGTTAAAGTATGGAAATCTATCTGCTTACAAACAGAGACATTAACAAGAAAATGAATAAAGATTACCAATTTACTATTGTAAAACAAAATCAAAGACTTGATGAAGAAGAAAAACATGAATTTGAAAATATTAAAGGTTAAAGTTCATAGAATTAACAAAATAACAATTGTTAGTAAAGATGGGTCCCTAAAGAAAGAGATAAAGACAAAAGTCAAATGTCTTTCATTAGGAAACATTAAAATAGTAACTATAAAAAAACTATTTACAATTGATTTTCATTATTCAAATTATTTATTTATAGTATTTCCTAATTTTTGTTCTTATTAAAATAAAGAACTATGAATTTTGTTTCTTAAAAAAGAATATAAGTGATTTGTAAAATTTTGTATGCTAATTTTTTATTTTATTTTAGATACTATTTTATATGTTAAATACTTTAGGGACCTATTATTAATTATTAGAGATTATATTGAAAACTTAATTTACATATAATAATTTAGAACCTAAAAATATGAAGATCTGACATAAAAAATTAACTTTTGCAAAGTAAAAAACTATAAATTAAGGTTTAAGTACTGATGAGAGAACTATATATATATGATGAAGTATGAAAAGTTTAGTAAAGCTTAGAGTTAACATAGCCTATTGAAAAGTAAATAGCCTATTGTTAACTAAAAAAGTATAAATAGCCTACCAATGTAAGTTGAGAGTGTAGTGTTGAATATGTAAAGACAATTTTTATTGAAAATAGAGATAATAGTTATTATTATATAAAAAAAAACAGAATATAAATAAAGAGATACTTGCTCTTGTCCAAATCAATCATTATATTTTTGCTTTTCTTAAATGTTCTTTACAGGAGACATTCACTTCTTTTAGTATTAGTTGTGAGTATTGTTAATCATTTGGATTATACAAGGTACTATAGATTAGTAATAAACTTATCAGTTTAGTCTATAATACAATCAAGTAAACTTATTTGTTAAATAAGTCAAGTAGGAGAATCTAATAACCTGGCATTAATTATTAGAGTTAAGAAGAGTCCTCAAGATAGTTATATGGAGAGAATATATTATAGAGATTGATATTAGAGATTTTATCAAAATGTTTAATAATAAAAGGATTGAACTAAACTAAACAATACAAAAAAGAATCCAGGATCTTTGAATTCAAAATAAAAAAACATAAATTGGCTAACCTTTTAAAATTAATTCAATTCAATCAATACTTTTAATATCTTTTTCAAGATCAATAAAGACAAAAGTTTTTTAACTAATCTAATCCACAATAAACTTTCAGTTATATAGATATTTAAGAAAAGGAAACCAGATGTGTGTACTATAACCACTTGTTTAATATGTGAACTTTAGGAAGAGACATTAGAATATCTTTTTGAATGTTCAATTATTAGAGAAATCAGAAAAGATATATAGTAAAAGGCAAACAAAAAGATCTATAAATATATTAATAAAAAAGTGAAAGATAAAAAAAAAGTTCTCCTATAAGTACTGAACAAACAAATGGTTGAAAAAAATTCAAAAATCTGATAAAAGTCTTTTCAATACTATTTATGAATATATGAAAGAAATATCTCAAAGAGCAGCTTAATATTACATCTATAACTACATAAAAAATAATCAATAAATATTGTTAAAAAATATGAGTAAACTTCAAAAAGAAGATTTGAAATAGTTGCTATATAAAGTTATAGAATTGGAAAATAATAGAACATTATAGAAGAAAATAAAAAAAACAAAAGGTACAAACATAGACTCAATATACAAATCAGATAGAATCAAGAAGTATTATTGCTATTTCTAAAAGACCTGAACCTGGAAGATACTAAAGAAAAAAAAAAGAAGTATACAACAATTATTAAGAATTAAATTTGTCATGAAATCAAATAATTTGATTTTTAACTGCAAACAAAACTTAGAATGATTTATAGTAATAATCTGTAAGTAATGAGTTTATTAATTAGAGAAGTTATTCAAATTAGTAAAGAAATAAAATGTGATTTCCTAGGTTATATTTAGAAAATTGGTTTTTTGATAATAAGTGAATTGGTATATAAAAATTGTAACAATTTATAAATATCTAATATATATACAATAAAGACATGCCATGTTAATATAAGACCTTTTATTTTAAGAATTCAAGATAATAAGTTTTTTATATAATATTAAATAATTTTTTTTTTGTATAATTTGAAGCTAAAGAATATTTCAATTAAACAAATTCTTTTTGAAAAAATTTGTTGACTTAAATAAAAATCTTTGAAAAGATTCAAAGTATTTTTTTTTTAGTTTTCTTTTTCTTTTAATCAATATATACTATAAATTTATCAATTTATTATTTTTAAAATAATCCATAATGATAAACTATCGATAATATTTTTAATAAATAGAAACAAATATTAATCAATTAGAAAAATAAAATATTGTTATTTAGATTTGACTTAGAGTATTTAGTTGCAACTTTATTTTAATTAATTTGAACTAACTTGCTAAACTCATTATAATTTTTAAATAGTGATATTCTTTAATTAATAATGTATAAAAATGAATTATTCATTATATAAAAGTTTATGTAATATTAGATATTTATTTAATATTACAATAAAGACATATCTAGATGATATAATAATAGATTAAAAAAAATAATAATAATAAAATAAAATAAAATTTCTTGCAAATATTTTTTATATAATAAAAAAATTAGTAAAATGGGTCATTTATAACTATTCAATTGATAAATATCATTAATAATATTTCATGCAGATTTAATTTTGATAGATTTCAAACGTTTAACCAAACAATATTTTAATTTTATTATTAATTGAGTATAACAAAATAAACAAATTAATTTACTTGATGATTAAATTTAATTTATTTAATTTGACATTAACATTTAATAATGAATTAAAATTTCACTTTGATTTTTAAATAATGAAATTTTCATAGTAATTCTTAAATATAAATTAATTATATACTTCATTTTTGTAAATCATAAATCAAGTTTTTACATAAAAAATATTATATACTGTATATATTTTGAATATGTTAATTGATATGTTATTAATTATACACATTTTAAAAGTTTAAAAAAAAGTCCCTCTACAATTTTTGAATTTATTTCTCAATGATTAAAACTATTCACGACGTACATGCATATACGTATAATACTAGTAAGCATATATTGAATTTTAAATATTTCTTTTTTTTTCCTTCCTAATATAAACAAAATGATGATAACGTTAATTTTTTTATTATTCTAGGTAAGTTTAAAGTATGCAATGTATATAAGATAAACGTGTTTGCATATAGGCGATACGCTTGTTAATAGATAATCTTTCAAATTTAATTATATCAATGAATGCTGCAAACGATTAAGGCCTCGCGAATCGAGCTCGCGTGGCCTCAATATAGCGGGCGTACCTTGCTTAATAAATTTTATGATAAAACAGATGGGAGATCAAATCTCAAACCTAAAATGTAAATAATTTGGCAATCAAATTTATTCCAAACTCACGATGCAAACTAATTTATTTATTGAGATAAGGACGTGGAAAATTAAAAATTAAAGGCATAATGCAACTGTTACAGAAGTCAAAGAGTCAATGTTTATGTGACATCGTTTCAGGACTCCTTTTATTCTAACCAATTCGGTGTGATTAAAAACACGTGATAAATAATCTTGCAACAGTTGTCGTTCAATCTGTTTCAGTTATCGACCATTATGTATTGTTAGATAGTGACGTGTCACAATGAAACCATAACGAAATTGCAAACTCCTGACTTATGGATTATTTAATATACTCACTTTACATGAATCAAAGGATCGGTTTATTACAAGATCCAAGTTTCTTAACAATTACGATGTTTGTTTCTTCCTAGACGCATTCCGTGAGATAACTAGACATTTACGAGAACCAAACATTCGACGTGCTCAAGTATAGGGAGACTTTATTTTATCTTTATGCCCGACTCCTGCGGCCAAATACCGGCTGTAAATCATTTCCTTTTATTGTACATTCCTTAAACGCAAAATTAACGCAAATCAGGATAATTTATTCTTCCTTCCTTTTAAAGCGGTGCCTTTTTTTTTTTTTTTTTTATCCAGGCCCTTGTTCCTTATTTTTCCTTCAGAAAATCTCGTATTTCTAAGGATACGACATTTTCGATTACAATATCTCCTCTGTTCTCCACACCATCTCCCCTCATTATTAACTTTTCTTTTCGAGTCTCAAGCACAGCACGTGCATTTTATATTACGTACATAAATATGACGTTGCATTTTGAGTAATGCAGTCATCATAATCTGAACAGAGGGATAAAGAGGAAAAAAAAAAAAAAAAGTATTCCGATTCATTCTTTTGCAGCATATATTGTTGGTACAATTATTAGTACCTCCAAAATATAAACAAAGAGGAATTAAGCAGGACGGGTCTTGCTTATTTCCTACCAAAAAAAAAAGAAGGAAAAATAGAAACAAGCCGACGGGTCATTTGATCGTTGCTTCATACACAGTATATCATATTGATAGGAAAAAATTTCATTCCGAAAAAAAGAGGTCATCTTATCGCGGGTTTGATAAAAAAAATGATCTTTCATTTGGTCGCAAAGGAACAAAGTAAATTGACAACGAAATCCAATCATCCCTACATACACACACCCACCAAAAAAATGCATCCCTCTTCACAAAAATTTTCTTTCCCGTCTATACCATCGATCCTGGTGATAATACTGGCATGTCTGACAATACCGACATGCTCAATACCGATCCAACCTACATCTCCTCCCCCTCAAACCACATCATCACAAGACGTGTACAATTCTAACGATGAAAGCCTAGACGGAATGTCAAGTTCGCCGGATAAAATGGAAGTAATGAATTGGATTCTTGCAGCTATATCAATAGTCATCGTGATAGAGTTGATATTTTGGTTATTCAAGTGCGTGAACATGGTTCGAAGAGGTATCTCGGGAAATGAGGAAAATGAATCTATTAATAATAATGGATCCCCAAGAGTATTTGATCCTGCATCCAACGGGCCCGATGATGAATACCTACCCCCTTACGACGGATTGTCCTTGCCCAAATATTGCGAGGCCATGGAGATGGGCAACACCGTCGCCGTGTTCACCAATGGGAATGGGGAATCGAGGAATTCATCTTTGGTGGAAGACGAGGTAAATTCTAATTCCTCAACAATAGTCGCTAGTCAAGAAGAGGAAGAAGGTCACGGCGAGAGGGTGGAAGGTCATAGTGAGAGAGTGGAAGAAGAGAACGAGAGTGGCGTTGTGGAAATTAATCGCATTAACAATCAACCATCAACGGTGGTGGTGGAAATGAATCAAGTGACGACCATAGATGATACCGGACGATCATCACCAATTGAGGATGTCTTTAATAAGGACGGTCCCAAGGCACAAGAGATTTGAAAAAAAAAGTCACGTACCTTTTACAACACCAAGCCCGTATATTTTACACTGTCGCTTCCATCATGTGACTTGGTACAGTACAGCACTTTCTTTTCGGAATAATTACAATATAGAAAAGATGCACAGTATATATGTATGCGTGTATGTATGTATATACTGTATAAATGTTCGAATTTAATAATTCGCTTGTTCTTTGGAGACATTTTAAATCAACATGATCTGCTGCCTATTTATTCACGCCTTTGTACTGTAACGAATTCCCTAAAAATATACTAGCAAAATTTTTCTTCGTGTATAAAATCTATAAGTGGTTTTGGAGCATTCAAGAGAAACCGTCCGACTATTTTGCCCTTTACATGAAACATCTTGATCGATACCATTTTGCCTTTCCCGAATCATGTTCTATATTTCAATGTATTGTGTGTATAAAGTTTTAAGGCATTCGTTGCAATATTCGGAAATTTTTAATTTGTATATTCCTTATTTTCAAATGTGAGTTTATTGAAGATCGCGTTTTTATTGAGACGAGTCGCTATCAACAAAAAAGGACGACTCGTATACATTTGGGAGGGTTTCAACTTTATGATTACTGTTGTATTTCTTTCTTTTTTTTTTGAAAAAAAAAAAAAAAAATTCTGTACATACTAGTTTTTTTTTCAATACATATCCTTCAACATATCAATGTATTAATTAAAAACAATAAAAATTATTTTCTCTTTTGGCGAGATAAAATTATATCCCAAATTAAGGAAGCCCCCCGTCATCTATTATGTCACCGTATAAATAACAATATATACTGTATATTGAAGTAAGGGTTTATTGTAAGCGAGTCATGACTGCTTTAATAAATTAATTTCAAATCACACACAGAATCACTAAATGTCAGCGCAACAGATTAGTTCTCTTCTTTTATTACATGGATTACGATTATAACGTGGCGAATTTCAAAACTTCTAACTAGCGTTACCCCTTAACCCCCGGAAATGAATGTCTGACGTGGACTTCGAAACGAGACTTTAAAAAATAATATCACCACAAGACGATTAAAATCGACTGACATCTCTTCCAAAGAACCATGTGAGGAACCTAAAAAGATCGAGATTAAGTGTTATATAGTACGGAGTCGAGTCTTCGATAAATATCTATCACTTACCAATACATAGGGCTGGAGAAATTATCAAAATGAAGTAAATAAAATAACAAAAATATCAATAATCATTCTAAACATCCGCGAAATTCGTGTTACAATGCTTACATTAGCATCTTGTTTCTGAGAGATATGGTCATCGTGAAATAAGATGACCTCCAGAATAGCCATGCCATCATGCCACCCTCCTTTGCCTTCTCACTTACTGGGGTCATATCAACGACAGCTTAAAAGGCAAGCAATGAGAATTATGGATGATTTAAAAGAGTGCTACCAAATTGGGAAGCCTTTACCTGTATATTTTCCGATGTAGGCCATGCTTCCGTAATTCCTGAATTTAAAGGGTTCAGTCTCGGTTACCGATCCTCTATCTTGAGCCATTTTCGACAAGACTACGATAAATATTAAATCAAATTTAGTAGAGTCTTGTTGGTTATTGGATTTTACATGCACGCCGAAACACTATTAGGGTAGAATATACTTTTGCTTAAATAATTCGCTTTCTGGTTTGCCACTTGGGCCGTGGCAGGAAGATCATAGTTATCGATCGTAGCACAATCGCCAAGAGCATAGCTATAATAAAGAGAGTGATTAATGTGTGAAGCTGGGTATTGATATTCGAATATTTCCATTTACACATTGTCTATTGGTTTTCCGGTCTCTTTACACAAGACTCTTAGATATTCATCTGTCAGAAGCCTGCAATGAAATAAGATGCACAGGTTAGAAATACATTCAATTTAATATTCGCACATAACGAAAACTGGAATATCGCGTAGTGCCTTTTCGCAGTTTTATCTTTCACCACTTGGTCACCCATCGAGCGTGTCAACGGGTTATCTGACAATCCTGATGTTAAATAAACGATAAATTTCATTAGTTTCTAATGTCAACCAGAAAAAAACTTGCGAATTAAGGATTATCACCTGTCGCCCAAACCAGCATGCCATAAGGAACTTCACCTTCCTCCTCCACGATAATTTCGTGTTCCCTCACTTCAATAACATGCCTGTTGGTGCATATGTTAATGCCTTTACGCATGAACTTTTTGGTTGCGTATTCCCGAAGAGATGCGTCGAACGATCCAAGAATCTCAGGAGCAACATCATATACCGTCATGGTAACTAGATTCATGAAATCCGGATACAACCGAGCCATGTCTTCTGTAATGAAGTCATAGCTATAAAGGCATGAGACATGAAATCAAAACAGCTATTTAACAAAGAATTGATTTGTCATAAAACTTACAGTTCACCGCCGAATTCGATCCCCTAAATGTTTGAATAATGGAATAGATAGGTCAGCTGCCACCTTTGAGACAAACCTTCATGAACATAGGATGGATTAGACTTACAGTAGGACCTCCACCCACAACCACAAAATGCAACAAATCAGCAACTTCCTTTTTGGTCACGCCCGGCTGACAGGCGTGTTCAAAGCATTCGATAACTCGTGAACGTATTTTGCGTGCATCGGAAATATCCTTCAAAAACAATGCGTATTCCCCTACGCCCTTGATGCCGAAGGTATTTGAATTCGCTCCGACTGCAATGACTAATTTATCATATTCGACAGAATACTTGTCCGTTTTTCGTTCAAGGTTGGATGTACAATTAATAACCTGCTTATTTAGATCTAATAAAGTTGGGCGCAAGTGAAGCGAAATATTCACATATGCATGCACGGTACACCCAATTCCTCGTATAAAAAGTTGGCCGATGAACTCACCTATGGTGTCCGCATAAGCTTGATAATATTGGATTCTCGGCGAATACCTTCGAATGGGTTCCGTGATGCACCTAAATTCCAGTGTACCCACAGATGACGATGCGAGCAATGGTGTACTAAAGATCGTGAAGAAATTAGAGAGAGAACGAGTCGCGTGCACATTGAATCATTTGTATGATAAGACAAACTTACAAGACAAAATAATTCCTAAGGAAACAATGTTGAACAATTGAAATCCAAAATTTTTATTAAAATTTCTTTAAGGCTAAAGTAATATTCTATCAACAAATGACATGGGTACCTTGGAGAGATAACAATTACTTCGTAATGCTTGGTGTTCAAATTCTTAAGTAATTTAAATCCTATGAATGAATCAAAGTGCAAGAGGTTGAGGTAGGTTGGAATCTATGTCACCGGATCGGAGCACATCACTGAATTATCATGATATCTAACCTGCCCACCCGGATCCTATGCATTCAGGAACCTCGTAAGAAGAATTTAACACATGATGATATCTCAAATTCACATCTTACCAAGAATGACCAATCGACCTGAACAAATAGAATGGTCAGAATATAATTGAAATATGGTCCGATACACTGCATAGCGTATAACCAATCACCTTGGATTTTTCCTAGAGAGGCAATGGCTCTCTTGGTATTAACATCGAATACCGGATTTGGCTTCAGAATGGCTTCTGTTCTTAATGCGGTTGGAATTGTTAAATTCGCCCGATGATAATTACGTATTACCAGACCAATAATATCTTTCTGGAAATATCTGGATCTATCTGATAAGTTTGAACTGAAGAGGTTAGTCGGTTCAATTAAAACCATTAAAATTATTCAATACATATATGCGTAAGAAAAAAATGGGTTTGACTGACGTAAATAGGATGTACGAGTAGACACCATATGAAACATTTTTATTTATCATTCATTATCTATTTATTATTTTCTCGTGGAGATGACACGGTATTTATGGGCTCCCGATCAAAGTGCCAATCCGGATAAAAAACGTCAAAAAGGCGATTTAAAATTTTCTCACGCTATTTCGGCATCGATCTGCATAAATCAACGTGCGTGAAAAAATTTTTTTTCCAGATATCCTATTGCTTAATTAAACTGCAAGTTATGCAGTATACATAATTACAAGTTTGAAAATATATATACTGTATATATAACTAGCTTAGATTAGTCAATAGTTATTTTTTATTTTTATTTTTTTTTAACCCGCAGTCAGGTCAGCATGGGGTGTCTTTATTGTATATATACTAGGTATTTACAAATTGTTGTGACTTTCACATACTGACTCATTCATCATCAAAAAACTATTTCTCTAAATGCAACCTAGGGAATGATATTTCACTCCTTTACTAATTTGGATAATTCCTCTAATTAATAAATTCATTGCCTACAGGTCATTACTGTAGATTGATTGGTCAATAGTTATGAGTATATTTTAAATTTTTAATTAATTAGTATATACTGTAAGTAACTATTATATTATAATACCTTTTTTAATCCTTTATCAAATTAGTTATGTACTTTATTAAACATTTGTAAATTGTATTTAAATTTATTCTAAAGTTAATTCTCTAAATTATTCACTTGTTCTAGTTTAAACTACCTTTTAAATTGCAAAAATACTGTAATATATTTTTTTATTCAATATATATTATTATTATTTGTTTTTATTGAATAATAAATAAAATCAAATTAATAGTATCATAATTATAATATAACAATTGATTTGTTTTTATATATTATCAATTGAAGAATTAAAAAAAAAATATTATTATTATTTTAAACCCTTTATCAGTTTAGACATTTGTGTTTTATTAAATATTTATATATTTTATATTGAGAAATATATTACTAAAGTTAAATATCTACCTAATCATCCATTTCTATTTTGAAATTTATCAAAATTCTAAAATCCAACCACTTTGTTTCATACCCTATTTTTTTTTGTTAGGATTTCTTGGAAACTTTTATTTTCTAAGTTTTCTTCTTTTAATAGTGGTTTTTTTCTCTTTAAGGATATAATTTTCTAGCTTAGAGAATATAAAAATCTTTTTATTCTTGTCTACTCTATTGATTTATTGTATTTGTTCTCATTCAATTATTTTTTTATATTTCTTGTTTTGGATTTTTTCTCGAATTTGATTACAAACTCTTTTTTGCTTCTTTATTATCCATTTTCTTGCTTCTCTTCCTATATCTTTTTCATAGTATTTTAGATTCACTATTTCTAAAATAAGATTATTTCTTATAAGGCTAGTACAAAAACTTAAAGTATTTTTATTGATTTTAAAAGTTTATTTCACTAGTCTAGGAATTTACTTATCAAGCTTTCCTAGTTAAGGATAGTTTCTTAAAGTATTAAGAATATAAAATTTTATAGGTCATCTATGTCTCTTTTTAAGAATCAAAATTTATAGTTCTTTATTTTAGTAAAGACAAAATTCAAAAAATATTATAAATCAAAAATTTTGATAATAGAAAACTATTTTTTTTTTATTATAACCCTCTGTCAGGCTAGTTATGTATGCTTTATTAAACAATTGTAAGCTATATATTATATATGTGACGCTAAAACTAATTCTCTAACTAACACACTCGTCAAAGTCTTATATTTATCTAAGACTCTAAGTGCAACTTTAGGAGTGATTTATCGCTCCGCTAGTAGTTCAGATGAAAACCCTTCCAACTTCTAACATTATTGTCCGCAGGTCACTACTGCGTATCATTGTACGATGTTCTGACAAGGGTCAAAACCCCAACCACTGCATCCCATATCTAATCCCATTTCTTACAATTTCCATAAGGTTCTTGTTTTCACTCTCTTTTACTTCTTCTCTTTGTTTTATACTTTTATGACCGGGATTATCTTGCAGATCTTGACTTCTTGCTTCTTGGGCCTTCTTGTATTTTACTCTTCTATCAATCCTTTGTTCTTGTTCCCATTCAATGATCTTTTTACATCTCATATTCTAGACTTTTTTTCAGATCTGGTTGCAAACCTTCTTTTGTACTTTTAGAATCCATTTTTTGACTATTGTTCCTAGCTTCTTTCCATAGCAGTTTAGGTTAGCAGCTTCTCCGATTGCATTGCTTTCCACTAATCCTGAGCA